TAGTCAAGATTGCCTTGGAAATTTCCACTAAAATTCTACCTCCACACCGATTTTAGAGGATTTTGAAAAGATGGGCCAGGGTTTCCTATAGAGTAAGGAGCTCTGGTAGCGTAGCGGTTATGAATTGGGCTGCTAACGCCACAGTAATATGTAATATATTTCTAAGTGGTTTCACCATAGTGGTTGTATATAGGGTTTCTGGGGCTTAGCAAGAGCCGAAAGTGTCATGTTTTCCCTCACAGAGCTGTTGGCTGACTCAAACTGCAGACCTTGTAGTTCACAGTCCAGTGAGTATCATATGGAGCCACCACGCTTCCTATAAAGTAGTATATGACATGACTAAAAGCTTATGAGCAGGTCACAGATATGATTTAATAACTAAGAATCAATTTCTACAGCTCACATTTTTTTAGGTATGGGTGGTGGTGGTGATGGTATTTGTTTTTTTCCCAACCTTTATAGACCCTTTATAGGGTTTCCAAAGCTGTAAATCTCTCCCGGAGTAGAAAGCCTCATCTTTCTCCCCTGGAAGGACTGATAGTCCCAACTGTTGACCTTGAAGTTAACAAACTGGTTCGTAACCACTATGCTGCCAGAGTTCCTTAGGTACTAGTTCGTTTCTCTTGTTATGTGCCTTGGAGTGGGTTCCGACTCATTCATAGTGTACAGAGTGTCTGGGCTGTAAATCTTTATGGGAGCAGAAAGCCTCATCTTTCTCCCGCAGAACAGCTGGTAGTTTCGAACTGTTGCCCATGAGATTAGCAGCCCGATTCATAACCACTACACATTGGAATGGAGGGATGACATAAAATTCCCATTTTAGTTAAACTTTAGAACCGTTTTTTCCCCCCAGATTTTCATTTTATGCATCACTGGGCTCCTCTATAGAAAGTTATTTATTGAGGCACTCAGTCTTTATTTCAGAGGATATAATATGCCCTGGTGTGGCATTGTGGAATAAAGCACTGGATAGCATGGTCTGTTTGAACCACAAAGTCAGTGGTTCAAACCCACCAGTTGCTCCTTGTAAACCCTGAACAGGATCACTGTAAGTTGAATCAACTCACTGAGAAACATGCTAGGAGTCCTGGTGTGTCGCTGTGGGTTAATGCTCTGGACTGCAAAGTCGTTTGAACCTTACGGTGGGTGGTTAAAGTGCACTCTCTGGAAACCCTTATATAGGGTCGTCATGTGTCAGAAACCACTCGATGGCACTTAACAACAACATATTTTAGTTGGGCTGTGTATTGGTTCTGTAGATAAGCACAGGACTGAACCCCACAGTGTCAGCCATTCAAGCCCACCAGACACTGCAGAAGAAAGATGAGGCCTTCTGCTCCAGCAAAGATTTATAGCCTCAGAAGCCCTATACAGGGTTGAGATGAATCAGAACCAGCTCGACACACTAACAACATAGTTCAATTTTTTTTTAATATATATATACATATAACAGCTTTTTTGAGATGTAATTCACATACCATAATATACACGAGTGGTTATTAATATGAAACTATACAGAGTTATGAAACCATCTCTAAAATCTAATTTTGAACAATTTATATAAGGAGCTCTGGTAGCGTAGTGGTTACAAATCGGGCTGCTAACCTTAATGTCGGCAGTTCGAAACTACCAGTGGTTCTGCAGGAGAAAGATGAGGTGGTCTGCTCCCGTAAAGATTTACAGCCTTGGAAACCCTGGGTAGGATCTCTGAGTTGGAACAGACTCCTTGGTACTTAACAACAACATATTACCCTAACAAGAAACCCTGTACCCCCATTAGCACTCATCCTTAATACTTCATGTCCACATCCTCCCTTTTGACTCCCCTCTTTTCTCCCCAGGCAATCATGATTCTCTTATCTCTAGATTTGTGTATTCTGGACATTTCATATAAAGTAGAATCACGATATGGTCTTTTGTGACTGACTTCTTTTCACTTAGCATATTTGGAAAAACTATCCAAGGGCGTTTCCATTATCTTTTAATTTCATTTTCCAAAAAAATTTTTGAAGCCCCTCTCATATTTAAAGCCTCAAAAAAATTCTGAACATTTTTCTTTCAGCTTTTAACTACCGGTGTTTTTAATTGGTGGTAACAATTGAATTCTTTTTAAAGTTTAGAAGTGATTAGACAGGGCACTGGTGCCTTAAAGTTTGAGATGGATTATCCTGTATATTGGTAAAGTAGGTGGTTTCTGAGACCACTTTAAGATATTATCCACAGAGCACTTTCTTGTATTGCTTTAGAGTTTGTTTTTCTAAGAATTCTAGACTCTTAAATTTTTAGTACTTTGAAGGATTAATAAACACATGAAGCTTTTTTCCCCTACCCTTTAATGTGTACTTTTCATAAGCATAGAGAATCGCTGTATAAAATAATTCAAACCTTAAGGCTGATTGAGGTTTCCCAAATGTAAAATAGTGTTGCTACACTTTAGGTATGGTGACTCTACTATGTACCCCTTTGTAAAAGAAGAAAAAGAATGAGTCTCTCCACCCTAGTCATTGTAACACAGTGTGTTTTTCTTTGCCTAATCTTTATATGAGAGATTTTCTCGTTGTTGTTATGTGCCGTGGAGTCAATTCCGACTCATAGTAAACCCTGTACAGGGTTTCTGAGGCTGTAAATCTTTACGGGAGCAGAAAGCCTCATCTTTGTCCCACAGAACAGCTGGTAGTTTTGAACTGCTGGCCTTGCGGTTCGCAGCCTGATTCGTAACCACTATGCTACAGGTGCTAAGATGTGTAGTAAAAATAAACTAAAACCCCCACCCCTTTTTTTTTTGTTTTGTTTGGTACTTGTACCTGCCCCTCCTTTTTTGGTGCTGGTTCCTGAAGTAGAATCTTTACATTGAAAAAAAGGGGGAGGGGTGAGAAAATGATATATAGAATGGATTAGATTGACTGCACACGTTTTTTTTATTATAAAGTAATACTTGACTTTGGATGATCCTCCACTGGGAAAAAGTGAACCAAGTTCAGTTGTTCAGTGCAGTCTAGTTGATTCCGACTCATAGGGACCCCTGTATAGGGTTTCCAAGGAGCAGTTCAAACCGACCTTTAGGTCTAGTGCTTATCCTACAGTGCCACACCAATAATAGTCCCTTGTTGTTGTTGTTGTTGTTGTTGTTGTTAAGTACTGTAGAGTTGGTTCTGACTCATAGCAACCCTGCACAGGGTTTCTGAGGCTGTTAATCTTTACGGGAGCAGAACGCCTAATCTTTCTCCTATGGAACCACTGGTAGTTTCGAACTGCTGACCTTGTGGTTGGCAGCCCGACTCGTAACCACTATGCTACCAGAGCTCCTTCACAATTTATAGAAAATAAACATTTAAGAATTGGTAGAGATTTCTAATGTTTCCGATTGAACTTTTTCTAATTGATTTGTGGCTCTCTGCAGAACAGTATTTAAAGAAAAACAGCTCTTCTCTGTTTCAGATGAATGCTTTAAAAGACTTTAAACTTTTTACTTGGCAAAACCTTTGTTTGAAAAGACAAAGATAATTGTTTTAAGAGTCTTTTCTTTCAAGGCTCAGAACCGTTTTCTCTCTTTAAAGGTTTTCAGGTATTTTGTGTATCCATTAGTTTTGTAAGGCTACATTAAATCCATTAACACTGGTCACCTTTGGGTGCTTATCATGTGGCAGGTCACGTGCTTTAAATAATTGTTTTTTAACAGGTGAAATACGTAGTCTGATGTTTACCTTTGAGAACATTAGTTTGCTCTAAATAAACCCAGTGAGAAGATCTAGGGCTTCAAACCCAGAGTTTCACACTCTTAAAAATTCATACCAGATGTTATGAACAAGAATTTGTGATAATGCCAGCTACAAGTTTGGATTCCTTCTATTTTGATACTCTTCTTGGAGCTCTTACTTTAAGAAATGTTTTTTAAAGGGAAGAAATTCACAATGGAGAATTTCTCCATTAGCATATTTTAGGTGCATACATTCTCGGAAATGGAAATTTTATTCTGCAGATACCACCCCTAACTGTGGCACAGATAATTAGATCATGTTAAGTTAACGTTAGTATTGTTAAGAAATACATACTCCTTAAACATTGTTTACAAGAAAAGGGATGGGGGAAAGGTGGGTGGTGAGGGAAAGTTTTGATTTACTCAGGTGAGCAGGATTTTACAGCTGCATAGTAAACTTTGTATGACCCTGGTAAGCTTCTGCAGGTGAAGGACTTCTGAATTAGCCTCTTGAAAAAGTTCAGGAATTTCAAAGGAAAGGATGGTTTCATCAAGGAACTAGGTGGATGGATTCATATGGGTGGGGGGGTCTTACGGTATTTTTAATTGTTTAAAGCATGTCCACGGCTAACAAGTAGAGCATTAATAATCTTCTGTCTACTAGCATCAATGATTGCTAGAACACTAATAAATACTCTTGGAAAGCATTCACTTTTGAGGGGTATTTTACCTCAGTTTTATTTCAAAACAGTCAACTTTCATTAACTCAGTTTTTCTCATGAGAATGTTTAAATCTTTTCTACTACTTTTTCCCCCCAACATCAAAGAAGTGCACATTCTTTCTGTTTTTTAAACTCCTGATGTGAATGGCCAGCAGCACTACAGATAATTTTTTTCATGAATTCTGGTATTAAAGAATTTGCATAACTTCAGTAAACAAGGAAATCTGAAGACTTGAATTATTTTGGCAGGAGGAAAAGGCTAGAATAAGGTGACTGGTCACAAACTAGGGTTTTGAATACTGATAGTGAAATTTTATGACTTCTGGAAATTAGGCACAATATATATTTGGTCCTTAGAAATTCAGTACTTTTTGGGGTGGTTGGAATTTCACTGCCTGATTCTTTGAGTCTGTCTACCTAAAAGTAGAAGGTTGTTGTACATTGTGTTGTGGCATTGGGATTCACTCACTGAGCATCATGTTTCCTGTTGTAACACCATTGAGGTGTTTCTTCAGTATCTTTGGAAAGAATATATTTTGATTGACTACTTTTATGTGCTTGTTTATTTTTTATAGCACTTAAACGGTATTGAGATGGATTGGGTTATGAAACATAATGGTCCAAATGACGCTAGTGATGGGACAGTACGACTTCGTGGACTGCCATTTGGTTGCAGCAAAGAGGAAATAGTTCAGTTCTTTCAAGGTACCTCTAGTATTAGTCAAAGTTTAGTAGTATTTTAATTTTGTTTGTACTATATTGTTACTCAGTTTTTAGTTTTTAAACCCATATATTTTGGGAACCTTTTAATTTTATCTATTACGGTTAATGCTCTAAACTATGAAATGTGCTCCAAATAATATTTCAATACAGACTATATAGAATGTGTAAGAACTAACTGATAACCAGTAAACTTAATTGAGAATAATGTGTGATGACATGAACCATGAATTGGCATATGGAGCGTAGTTAAATCTTACTTGTAGCTTTTTTTTTTCTTTTTTAATGTAATGTAGGTGGGCTTAGTGTATGTATGTAATTTTAAAAGACGCTGGTAGCTAAAAAAAAGTATTTAATCCAATATTTGACAGAAAAGCTTCCATTTGTATTATGGGGTGATGGGAAACTTAAGCTTTTTTGTTTTGTTTTGTTTAGATTTGTTTTAAATATTTGATTCAGATGGGAATGTTTCAGCCTTTAACACTGTTCCCCTTGATGGGGTTATTTGTCCTTGGGTTAAAGGGTTGGAAATCGTGCCAAATGGGATAACATTGACGATGGACTACCAGGGGAGAAGCACAGGGGAGGCCTTCGTGCAGTTTGCTTCAAAGGAGATAGCAGAAAATGCTCTGGGGAAACACAAGGAAAGAATAGGGCACAGGTGGGGATGGAGAGTTTGGGATGGTGTTAAATTTTTATTTTTGGGGGTTGTGGGTCACTATTTATTAAATGGGGGGGTTAACCATAACATTTTTCTGGGGTAGTGTTTAAGAATTGATAATTATCTAAATTTAACTTGGAAACTACAGATTGGGGTGGGGAGTTAAAGCTAATAGTTTACTTAAATTAAAATTAGATTGTTTCCATTTTCTATAGGATGTTGATAAATGCTTTTGTGTAATCATCTTTTTTTTTTTAAACACCTATCATGTACTAAAGGAAACAAACTAAAATTATATTTTATGTATTGTTTGTAAATTACTAGTTTCTCTATGTAAAACTTAAATATTTATAGGTGTAAAAATGTTAACTTATGGTGTACTTAGGCAATTTTAAATGGGTTATATAACTAGATGTAGACCAACTTAATGCATTTTGCCCAATATCTTATTTACTCTAATTCGTTTATGCTGAAACCTGTACCTTAAAACATTTTTTTAAATAGGTATATTGAGATCTTCAGAAGTAGCAGGAGTGAAATCAAAGGATTTTATGACCCACCAAGAAGATTGCTGGGACAGCGACCGGGACCATATGATAGACCCCTAGGAGGCAGAGGAGGGGGTTATTATGGAGCGGGGCGTGGAAGTATGTATGACAGAATGCGACGAGGAGGTGATGGATATGATGGTGGTATGTGTAGTTAATGAACAAAGGTTCTGTTGTCATTTTCTTAATGTTCCTGACACTTTGTCAAGAAATACAGAAATGGCAGTAATTTCAGTACCTACTGGGTTTTAAAACCTGTTCATGAAAATATGGATTCCTATGGGCAGCTGTGGGACAATTGATGTACATATTGACACCTAGAATAATGTATTCAGATAAAAAAATTGAAATATTGAAAATATTTTTATTTTTCTGTTTGGCTTTGGGATGAAATTTTGCATGTCTGAGTTTATCCCTCTGAGGTTTTTAATTTTCACCAAACGTTAACCACTTTTTTTCTTCATGTGCACTGAGTTGAAAGTAAATTTGACTTTACATGTATGTTAAAAAGCATACTAAGTATTTTTTGAACTAGATGATGGAACTCTCCCCTCAAAGGTATATTCATGTCATTTCTCCTTCCATTGCACAGGTTATGGAGGTTTTGACGACTATGGTGGCTATAATAATTATGGCTATGGAAACGATGGCTTTGATGACAGGATGAGAGATGGAAGAGGTAAAATGTCTACTGTGCAACCAAGAAGTGGGACTGTGTTGTTGCAAAGTACCGTCGAGTCGGTGCAAACTCAATAGTGACCTTGTATAGGGTTCCCAAGGAGCGGCTGCTAGGTCTGCATCATCAACCTTCTGATTAGCAGTCCAGTGCTTATCTTATAGCATCACAACAAGACTCTCACATAGTAATATAGGTGACTATTTTAAAGGGGAAAGTCAATATAGACATGTTTTGATTCATTCCTTTTATAGTATTTAATGTATACTTAACAAATTCTCCATTTGATAATTAGAGTAATTATTAAGAGTTCTTGGAATTATCCAAGAAAAATGAGTAAGTGTATAGGGAGAAATGTATTTTGTTGAAATGCTTTCTTTCAAGTATTTCAATAGTTTATGGTCTTTGGAAATTTTATTCTCCAGGTATGGGAGGACATGGTTATGGTGGAGCTGGTGATGCAAGTTCAGGTTTTCATGGTGGTCATTTTGTACATATGAGGGGGTTGCCTTTTCGTGCAACTGAAAACGACATTGCTAATGTAAGTAATTTTAGTAATCATTACTGGTTTTATACTTAACCTCAGGGTCTGAATTTTGGAGCTTCTTGATGTTTTGTATTCCTCTTCTTTTTATAAATTTTATTGTTGAGAATGTACACAGCAAGAAATAAACACCAATTTAGTTTCTACATGTTCAATTTAATGGCATTAATTTATATTCTTCAAAGTGTACAACTATTCTTATCCTCCTGAGTTGATCATTCATTCTTCATTAACATAAACTTAACTGCTCCCTAAGGTAGGTGGTTCAAGCCACCCCTTGAAAATCCAATACAAGGTTGTTATGAGTTGGAACTGACTCGACGGTTCATTTTTGGAGTTCTGGTGTAGCGCTGTAGGATAAGCACTGGATTGCTAACCACAAGGCTGGCTGTTCAAGCCTATCAGCCACTCCTCGGAAACCCTATACAGGCTTGCTGTGAGTCAGAACTGACTCAACACTTTGCAAAAACAGTTCCTATCTAGTCTTTCAAGTTGCTATTGTGAGTTTGATCCCATAGAAAGAGTTAATACAGCTCTAGGCAGACTTTATTAAGTTAAACTATTATTTAGTTTACGATTACTTAAGGGAATATATATATATATATTTGATTTAAAGACTATCGGTAATAATTGCAAGGGTTCATCTATCCTCCATGGCTCCAGTCTAGATAAAGTCCATGAAAATGTTCTGTATTTTCCCCAATTAGATCAGGATTTTTCTGAAGGATTTTTGATCAGAAACTTTAGCAGTGGTAGCTGGGCACCATCTAGTTCTGATCTCGTGGCAAAGAAGGCAGTTGTTTATGGAGGCAATTCATTACCCACACATTCCACATTCTCCTATTGCTGACTACTACCTCTGTTGCTCTGGGTAATTAGAAACCATTGATTGGATGGCTTCTTATAATCTTTGTAAGACCCCAGACACTACTCAGCAAACCAAGAAACAGAACAGAAGCACTAAACACGTTACTAGACGAGTTAACTGGGTTATCTCATGAATTCATGACCCTAAACCTCTAAATAAAAGAACCAAATATCATGAGGTGTTGGTTGTACATAAAGCGGCTGCTTTTTTGCTACTTAAACTTTTTATGTTGGTGGTTGGTGGTATGCTGTGGAGTCGGTTCCAACTCACAGCTACCCTGCTTATGGTTTCTGAGGCTGTAAATCTTTATAGAAGCAGAAAGCCTCATCTTTCTCCCACAGAACAGCTGGTAGTTTCAAACTGCTGACCTTGAGGTTAACAGTCTGACATGGAACCACTATGCCACCAGAGCTCCTTTTTACAAGTTTGTCTTTTTACTGAGTGAGCTTAGACAATACTTGTCTGTTGGTGATTGACTGACTTAACTTCACTCAACATGTCTTTAAGGTCTATCTAGACTCTAGTATGTATCAGTACTTCATGTCTCGTATTTGCTGAGTAGTATTCCATTTTATGTATGTACCACATTTTATCTATTCATCTTTGATGGGCATTTAGATTTTTTTCCAGCTAAAAGTGAAAGTACTGTAGTCACCGTTGGTGTTCTTTTTGAGGGTCTACTTTCAAGCTTCTGTGGTGTGTACCTAGTAGTTGGTTGCTGGGTCATTTGGTAGGTAGTGTTTTTGAGGAACTGCCACACTGTTTGCCATCATGATTGTATCAGTGTTGTTGCTGGTGGTGGGTTTATACCACCAACCTTCTGGTTAGCAGTCTAGTGCTAATCTATAGTGTTATACTAGGACTCCACTGTATCATTTGTTAACTGCCATCAAGTCAGTTCCGATCCCTAACAGGGTTGTATGAGGAGTGACTGGTGAGTTTGAACTGCTGACCTAGCAGTTCAAACTGACTTTGCAGTACAGTGCTTTAACCCACAGTGCCACACCAAGACTCATTTTTGTGTCCATTCGTGTGCCAGTCATGGAAAGTGAAAGCTAAATTCATAAAATACACTTCAGAATATAGTGAAAGAATGAGCAGCAGAATTGGTGGTAACTAATCAGTTATTTCCTTTGTTGTATCAGTCTTTGAAAGTGTAATGTATAAGTCAGTTTTATTGGTTTGGTTTTGGCTTTTTAGGTTAGATTGTTATGTGCCATTGAGTCACTTGTACTCACAGTGACCCTGTATGGGTTTCTAATGCTTTAAATCTCTGCTGGAGCAGAAAGCCTCGTCTCTCATCCATGGAACGGCTGGCAGGCTTGAATCATGAACCTGTGGTTTGCAGTCCAGTGCTTGCTTATCTTATGGAGCCACTGCACTTTTTTTAAGCTAGATGTTGCTGCATGCCATCGAGTCGGTTCCGACCCATAGCAACCCTGTATAGGCTAGACATTGATTCAAATTGGAGCTGAAAATTATGGGAGTAGATACTATATGATTTGGAAATAGTTACTTTTAAATTTGTTAGAGGAGTGTCTGTAACTTGAATGAGCCAGTTTAACTTCATCTTGGATTTTGCAGAAGAAATTTTGTTCTTGATGTTGGGAACCAATTGTCCTAATTTCCGCGTGTTTTAGGATAGCGTAAACCTAGCTATTTGAGATTAAAGCTGTGGAGTCCTGGTGTGGCACCCTAGGATAAAGCACTCGACCTCAAGGTTGGTTTGAACTGCGAAGTTGGCTAGCCACTCCTCAGAATCAACTTGACAGCACTTAACAAATCTAGTTTACTTGAGATTAAAGCTAGCTAAATGAAGCTCATTTGTTTAGGTTGAACTTTAAGTTAACATCTTTTTAAAAGAAATTTTAAGAATCTCAGTTTAAATAATGTTTTTATTTTATTTAGTTCTTCTCACCACTAAACCCAATACGAGTTCACATTGATATTGGAGCTGATGGCAGAGCAACAGGAGAAGCAGATGTAGAGTTTGTGACACATGAAGATGCAGTAGCTGCCATGTCTAAGGATAAGAATAACATGCGTAAGTTGTATCCTTGGCATGGTATCTTCCTAAATGGGAACTCACTTATAAAATAAACGTCTCATTTGTTTGTAGGTAACTCTTGGTATAGTAATTGGGAACTCTAAACCATATACAGTCTCTAAAAATTTTAGATTTTAATGCCTTCCTGGGAATTTTTCCTATGGGGTCATGGAGTGGCACTGTAGACTAAATACTGAACTGCTGACCACAAGTTGGCAGTTCAAACCCACCAGTCATTCTTTGGAAACCCTATACAGGGTCTTTGAGCCAGAATCAACTGATGGTACTTAAAAGTAGGGACTTTGAATTAAACACTTAAATATAACGAACAGTTATAAAGATGAGATTTTTTTAGAAGAATGAGGCAGGCTCTGATATTTAATAGATGTGTGTAAGTTTCCATATCTTTAAGTATATTAATACCACCTAAGCTTCACTGATCAACTTGGGTAAATTACACTTTGTTGTTAAGTACCGAGAAGTGTTTCCGACTCATAGTGAACCCTGTACAGGGTTTCCGAGGATGTAAATCTTAACGGGAGCAGAACGCCTCATCTTTCTCCGGCGGAACTGCTGGTAGTTTCGAACCACTGACCTTGAGGTTGGCAGCCCAACTCGTAACCACTACGCTACTATGTCATCAAATCTGTTTAGGCAATTTTTACTTGATTTCCAGGGCGCAGACCCCAACATTGGTTTGGAGTTCCAGGGTGCAGTCTCAGTGAGACCTAGATTTTAATTCTGTTACCACCCCACTAAGAAATTGGCAAGTGTATTTTCAGTTTAATAGCTAGTCAATATTTACATGGTAAATCTGATAGATTATTCCTTTCTCCTCTGCTTTATAAAGAACATCGATACATTGAACTCTTCTTGAATTCTACTCCTGGAGGTGGCTCTGGAATGGGAGGTTCTGGAATGGGAGGCTACGGCAGAGATGGAATGGGTATGTAAAGTTTTTTAAATAAGTAAAATTATACACTCAGCAGTCAATCTCAAAGCTTTTCTTTTTCTTCTAGATAATCAGGGAGGTTACGGATCTGTTGGAAGAATGGGAATGGGGAACAATTACAGTGGTGGATATGGTGCTCCTGATGGCTTGGGTGGTTATGGTAAGTATCTAATTACTCTGGATGTTCAATTTGTTAATCCTCATACGTAATACAGATAAGAATTCACACATTATTTTCAGTGTCTTATACCACTGATATCTTATGAAACAATTCTCAATGTCTTTTTTAAGGTCGTGGTGGCGGTGGAGGTGGCGGTGGCAGTGGGGGATACTATGGACAAGGCGGTATGAGTGGAGGTGGATGGCGTGGAATGTACTGAATCATAACAACATATAAGTCCTGACAACAGCATCTGGTCTACTAGACTTTCTTACAGATTTCATTTCTTTTGTATTTTAAGAACTTTATAATGACTGAAGGAATGTGTTTTCAAAATATTATTTGGTAAAGCAACAGATTGTGAAGGGAAGATCTGTTTCTGTAGGTTTTATTTGTTGCATACTTTGACTTAAAAATAAATTTTTATATTCAAACCACTGATGTTGATACTTTTTATATATGTGCTGCCTTGATAAGATTTGGGTTGATGTATTTTACTATTAGCTCTCTACAAGTAGTAGCATAGTGTCATTTTAGAGCTAACAGTTCAGCTTTGCAGAAATCTGGAATAGATAGTTTGAAGAATAGTGTAACTTTTTCCTTTAATTTCTACTGGATAATACTGTAAATATAAAACCTAAAGATGAGTTTAGGTGACTTCAGGAGTATGAATCCAGCTAATTCTATATTCTTTTTCAGGTGTCATTTATCAGCACTGAAATATTGATGATGGTCTAACAGGTATCTGGACTTCTACATATTCATAATTGTGGAGTATGGGAGTATTGGGAATTTAAATTCTATCCATAGATTGTAGACTATATTCCCCTCAGCACTTGACTGAAGTACCAAAAAATGTTTTCTAAAGAGTGATGACACATTTGTAAGTTATCGCAAGATGTCTTAGAGTAGGTTAATAAGGTTCCCTGTAACATGGAAAGTCAGCATAAATACATAGGTATTTACTGTGGAGTGAGTGTAAGTCACAAATGTATCTTCAGTTTCCTGCCCAATAGTGAAAGCGTATGATTTTAAAATAATTGTGTAAGTGAGTACTTAAAAAAATGTAAGACCATAAGTCCATGTCATAGTCTTAATTAAAATGAGTCATGCCGTTGGATTTTTGCGTCTTAATTAACATCTGCTTAGAGTTTTAGAGTCATTGTGTTTAATATGTAGCAAGGGAAAGGTGCTTTTTACTTCATCCCTTTGATCAATATGGTATTTTCCAATTTGGCTAATGGATAAAAATGGAAACGTATTGATGTAAAATCAGTTATTGAACTTGTTACTTGTTTTTGCTAGAAATGTTATTAATGTAATAAATATTAATAAGTATGTTGTCCTAGAATACTGTGTTGGTTGCTGATTATAAATCAAATTGGTAGAGGGTACTATGTATATATTTAGTTGAAGATTTAATTTAGTGACCTAAGGTAACTGAAAGCCAAGGTCATGTGCTTTTTCCTCTCAAAATTTTTAAGCAGTTAACAGTATATATAAAATGTTAAATGAACGTTGCCCTGTAATCCTAAAGCAGGGAAAAAATTCAAATCTTTATTTGGTTTTTAAAAAATTACACATTTAGTTTAAAAACATTGCAAGGTAGAAGAATTACAATTGCAATTCCTTGGCACCATGATAGCATTTTAATATTGGCTAGCTGAGGGAATGATGTGTGAAATCTATTAAGTTAAATAACTTTCTGTGAGAACAAATCATAATTTAAAAGAAAAAGTAGTGTTAAGTTCATAATCACAAAATATTATAAATTGTGAATGTTAAAACAAAAATCCAGATTTAGTATAAATAATTCTTAAATTATGAGCCAAAACTAAATGCAGCAAGTTATGTTGCTGTTATAGACACTGTCCAACCCTATAAAGCCCAAGTCAATGACGAAACAATTTTGAATAGCAAAGAATTTAAATTAACTAGAAATCATGGTTTACATTTGCCAGGAACGGTAAAAAACATGTTAGTATTTGAAAATTTTCATTTATGCTTATTACCTTAACCACCATAAAATCTTTAGCAATAAAAAAGCAGTTTAAGAATATAATTCATATCTTGACATTTCTATCAGTGTTTAAGGAAAGTCCACCTAAAAATCTATTTCAGTTCTAACTGAAGTTGATTTTAAAAGCTGACTGAAAATTTATGGATTACAGAGAAAATAGATCCTTCAAGTAAAATACTGGTTTTAAACTTCGGCAATTTAGAAAACTTTATTATTAAGCTGTTTTAAACCTTAATGGAAGTTATAGACCCTGAAGAAATGACCTGCAAAATCAAGATTCGATCTGAAGGGGGGATACATGACTGACCACTAAATGACTAGTCCTAGAGGACATTATTGAAAGGCTCACAGACTTAAAGTGCACAGCTGAAAATAACACAAAGATTCCTAAGTGATTTTATTTGGGGGGGAGGGGGTTGTTAAGTGCCATTGAGTCGAACCCTGTATGGGGTTTCTGAGGAGCAGCTGGTGAGCTGTAGGTAATAATTTTTTATACATTAGGTTCTTTTGGTATGCTGTAAGCAGTACAGTCAAAATTAGTGTTTATTCAATCTTTCATGCTTAAAATAGTTTAAGTGTATATATACTTCCTGACAGGGCAAAGGTCACATCAAGTCCTTGGTGTATAGAAGTGGTTCCGTATTTATTGTGGACTGACTGCAGTGATAAGATAGCCTAAGACCAAACCTCATCCTTGAGTTGATTCCAACTCAGTGATGACTCTATAGCTTAAAGAAGGGAAGTTTATTAATAATTTTTGAACTAAAGTCTAATTCTGTTCTGGATTCCTGGTGTGGCACTGAACTAAACTGTAAAGTTGGTGGTTCAAGGTTACCAGCGGCCTTAGGAACCCTCTATACATTGTCGCTGTGAGTCAGAACTGATTCAACAGTACTTAATCCTATTACACATTTTCCTGGGGAAAGGTTTTTGCTTTCATACTTAAATGGTTTCTTGAGACTCTCTTAACAAGATTTAGTGACCTGCAAGTAACAAGGTAAAAAGGGTGGGGGTGGTGGTTATGTGTCATGGAGTCGGAACCGACTCATAGTGACCCCTGTACAGGCTTTCCGAGGCTGTAAATCTTTATACAGGAGCAGAAAGCCTCGTCTTTCTTCTGTGGAGCAGCTGGTATTTTCAAACTGCTGACCTTAAGGTTCACAGCCCGATTCTTAACCACTACGCTACCAGGGCTCCTTAGTTAAGTTTCAGTAAGAAAAATTGAGGCCAAATATCAATGCCCAGTGTATCTGAAAGTTTTCAAGTACAACAGTAGTTTCAGAACACCAAAAGGATATTTTTCCATTGCCAAAGGAAGAGGTAAAGAGTGAGGGGAAAAAAAAAAAAAGTTGGACTCTTAAATTTAAGTTGAAAATTCTTTTGACTTGAAATATTTACAACTTTTTCTCTAAGAACCCTGAAGCTTGAAAGTTCATTTCCAGAAGATTATAGACACCAAATTACCAACATTGATAAGAAGAATAAAACAATTTGAAGTCTTAATTTTAAGAGACTCCTAACAAGATAAGGCAAATGTTAGAGGACTTTTCAGTGAATTTAAGGACTGACTACATGATTACTGTTAACAATTGGGAATTAGGTTAAAGTTATTTTAAGTTATGCCTAATTAAAATTTTTATAAATAATGGGGAAGAAAACAGCGAATTAATAACTCTTAATTCTCATGTGAAGATAAACTGGTATCAATGCTTATGGGAAGTTTAAGGGTTGTTTGGAACTTTGTAAACATGTCCATACATAACATTAATCATGCATACTTTCTTCCATAAGGGTTTAGTTCTGTAGTCTATGGCAAATTAGATGAGCATCTCTGAATCAGCAATGCATGACAGGAATCACAAACCCGTACTGGCTTTGGTGAAGAAGGCAAAGGCAGTTCGTTGTCAGAGCAGGCATTACAGAAAATTTCCCCACAGTTTCTACAGTGGTGCTTAATAAAATAAGAAAAATCAGTAAAAATTTTATGAATAAAAAGCCATTTTGTATTAAAATTATTGGGGTCTTCATATCTTTCTTACCTTTCTCTTGGAGAGTGAGAATTCCTTTTCACAAAGTTTGCAGTGTGTTGCTTCTTTGTCTTTTAACCAAACCAGTCCCTAGAAGGAAGAAAAGTGAGAATGTTGATGCTCAGATTGGTAATTAAAAAGTGCATGTGGACACTTTTTGCTCATGAACATTTTATAGAATATAAATCTGAGGATCTAAACTGAGAATCTTTGAGAACTACAAAGTGAAATATTTGCAGATGAGGTGTATGGAATTTGTTGGGGGAAGAAGTTGTGTGCCATCAAGTCTCAGTTGTCAGTTCCAATTCACAGTGACCTTGTATAGGTACAGATGGCCTTATCTTTCTCCCAAGGATCAAGCTGGTGGATGCAAACTGGTGACTTTGCAATTTATGTTTATCATAATATTGTCCAAGGCACATATAACCCACTACACCACCAGGGCTGGGGGAGGAAGTATATGGATGTGTTGAATTTAAGTAAAACAGTAATGTGTAGATCAGGTTCATTTTACCATTCTCTATATAGCTAGCCACGAACACTTCCATAATCTAGTGCTTTTTTTTAAAAAAAAGATACTAATAACCTTTTATTGATGAGAATGCTTTTAAGAAAATAACCATAAAGATCATCTGATCCAACAATATGGGACTGGAGGCTTCAAAATTTCCAATATGTTTTCATTCCATTTTCCATGGACTTTCTGAAGCTCCCTCATTTTAGGGATAAATTTTCACTATGTAAAACACACAAAAGTTTGGAGTTAGATATATGCAAAATGCACTGTAATTTTAGTTTATATTATTAAAAGTTAAAAATCAGATGTTTGAGGAATTTCAGGTAGAACCTCAGCTTAAGTTCAGTTTTACATGACAATTTCCCTCAAGTTCTGTTACTCACAAATAGCTGTTATGTAATAAGCATTTGTAGAAAATGGAGGTTAAGTAGCATTTAAACTTGATGGCTAAAATTTATGATTTATCCATAACCAAGATCCTGGCTGGACAGAAGAAACATTTCTTATTACAAAGAAAATATCCAGGTGGAGTCCTTGTTACTCCTGAGTAATTTCATTGTATATCCCCCTAAAACAGTCGGGCTGCTAACCTGCTCAAGGTCAGTCAATAGTTTGTAACAACCAGAAGCTCTTCCACATAAGAAATCTGAGGCTTTATGCCCCCGTAAAGATTTATAGCATTGGGAACCCTACACAGGGTCCATGTAGTAAAACTGACTTCATGGCACACAACCATGGTAACGTAGTTGTGAACTGCAAGATCAGCAGTTGGAAACTACCAGCTGTTCCACGGGAACAGTCGGGCTGCTAACCTGCTCAAGGTCAATCAACAGTTTGTAACAACCAGAAGCTCTTCCACATAAGAAATCTGAGGCTTTATGCCCCTGTAAAGATTTACAGCCTTGGAAACCCTGTACAGGGTCACTGTGCCTTGGCACCAACTCAGTGGCATACAGCCACCACCAACCACCACTCCTCTCCCCAATATGTACGAGAAAGATCTTTCTCTCCTGCAAAGATTTACATCCTCAGAGACATACAAGATCGCTGCGGTGGAACTGACTCTAGGCACTAACAACCTTGATATAAAAGCCATGGTGATGCAGGGGGGTAAGCACTGGGCTGCTAACTGCAAGGTCAGTGGCTTCCCAGGAAAGACAGAGTTAACTGCTCCTATTTAAGATTTAGTCTTAGAAACCCTATATGGAACAGTCTCACTCTGTCCTAGGAGGTCGCTGAGTCAGGATCCACTCAATGGCAATGGCCCTCAGTCCCCAGTTAGTCACTCAGTAATGACAGTTCAAGGTTATGCATGGCTTACCTTCTGATGGAGCAATTACACAGACGTACACATTTCCCTACATTGTTTACTTACCTGCAGTGCTTTGTTGGCTTCTTTTATATCTTCTATTTTAAGTTTTGATCTAAAAAGATTAAGTCAGAATTTAAGTACACATATTTAAGTACATAATACATAGTAATTTATTAGAAAGGTACTGGTTTTTCAGACAATAAAACATTTCCATAGTCACCAAAACATCGCTAACATAAAAATATAGTAACAATAATGTTTTTGATGGCATGTTGCTAAATAGTGCCTGTTTATTATGAATAAATTTATAATCAGATTTACAGGGTTGGTTAGTAACTATGGGTTGTACTTAGTTGAATATTCATAACCTGGGGCTTCCTGTAAAGAATTCAGCAAACACATTAGCTGTTAAAACCCTTATCAGGAGAGCTATTCACTTGTTATTAAATGCCACGGAGTCAGTTCTGACTCATAGCAACCCTGCATGGGATTTCCAAGGAGCAGCTGGTGAGCTTGATATGCCAACCTTGTAATTCAAACTGACTTGTTATTAATTTATCACATCATTATTACTAATGTATACTATGAAAAGAATACAGTTTTATATATGAGGGGACATCAGAAAGTTTGTGGAAATTTTCAGTTAGAAAATAATGGAAGTTTTCCATGAACTTTTAAAAATCCTCTTGGACAAGTGTTAAGTGCGGTCGAGTCAGTTTTGACTCAGCAACCCTGTATAAGGTTATCGAGGAGCAGCTAGTAAGTTTGAACTGCTGACTTTGTGGTTCAAACCAACCTTGAGGTCCAGTGCCTAGCCTACAAGGTAGTCCTTGATTCTGACCCTGAGTTCCGATCCAGCCACTATGAATGAACATCTGCGAATGCTGCATCAGCGAATTCCGTGCTGCAAACATTATATGTAGTACATACGTGTATTACTAACGATAAGTAACACAAATACTAAAATAGTTAAGTGTTTTCCTGGTAATTCAAATGAGTCTTAAGTTGGCGACTACTTGTAATTACTGCCCACTGTTCAACTTTCAATTTGTTCATTAAAACATCTTGATCTTTCTTATGTTAATATTTAGAAATGAGATCACTGAATCAGAAGTCATGTAAAATATCAAAGTTTGTATTATTGAAGGGGAATGTTAGAAGCTGCTTTGCCCGTCAGATGTTCTTTGCTCCAAGACATAAAAATAAAAGGCCAAGCTTCTTTCATCTGTTAAAACATTATCAGAAGACTAAACATTCTTGGCTGGCTTTACATCCACACGTGCCCCAGGAAACCTGACTATGCAGGAAATGATAAGCACAAGAAGAGTGGCCTGACTGCACTACCTGGAAAACCTAACGGAACGGAAGCCAAGAACACCTATGGAGCAGTGATAGTCTACAATATGCTGTGGTTGCCGTTAGTCAGAAAGGACTTGATGGCAATGGGTTTAATGGCACTGACTACACCAAATGCTTCCCTTATGAAAACATACTGGTGCTGACATACTTCTAGTTACAATACTTTAGTCATAAATATGGGCCTAACAGCTCTGGTAGCGTAGTGGTTACAAACCGGGCTGAGAACCGCAAGGTCAGCAGTTTGAAACTACCTGCTATTGTTCTGTGGGAGAAAGATGAGGCTTTGTGCTCCTGTAAAGATTTGCAGCCTCAGAAACCCTGTGCAGGGTCGCTATGAGTCGGAACCAACTCCACAGCACTTAACAACAACAACTATGGTAATTATGCTTTGATTAGAAGACTAGTTAATGTTTGAAGCCTTTAAAAATCCATCACACGTTCTCTTTATAAGACTCCCTCGATAATAAGACAATTATTTCGTTATTACAAGTAATTTTCTAGTTAGCATTAAGACACTCATCGTTGGAAAGTAAACTTCCAAACCCGACTTGCTCATTTTAAAGACAACGCAAAGGGTATTCTGCTGTAGAGAGGGGAAGGCACTACGCTAAGTGCTGTCACAAAGTTAGCCTCAAAAAGAAAACCAAGTCCTTTGGCGACTTTGGAACTCTCCGTTTCACAAATAGGAAATGTGTTTTAAGAGCTGAAGAGCAAGTGACAAATACTACATAGGGATGCTGACTCAGGTCTGTCCGATGATCCCATTCTCTTTCCACAATAATATCACTGTAATCATTCTGTGAGTAACAATACTCATGTTCAAGTATAGTATTAAATAACTGGAAAATACAGAATTGTTTCTGAAAGATTGATATGCCTTGTCACAAAAATCAAAAGAACCTCAAAGAAATCCCTCCCTAAGTTACAGTGTCATTCTGCATGACTGTCCCACTGCCCCATCCAAGCAGTCTATAGAAAGTCTACAGCCAATTCAGGTTCAGTTCGAAGCAAAGGTTTAAAAACACTGATCCAATCTCAGTCCCTTACCATCAACAAGTTTTTGTTTTTTTCAAAAGATACAAAGGGGCTTCAAAATACTGTGAAAAAATGGAACTATTCCATGAACTTTTTGAAATCCCCTTGTATTTAGCATTCTGAATATTAAAGGGTGGGGAGATTTACAGTTTTTACTTAACTTTCAATCTGCTGATATGTAATAAATATTACAGCAATTGTTGTTAAGTGCCGTCGAGTCGGTTCCGACCCATAGTGACCCTGAACAGGGTTTCCGAGGCTATAAATCTTTACAGGAGCAGAAAGCCTCATCTTTCTCCCATGGAGCAGCTGGTAGTTTCGAACTGCTGACCTTAAGGTTCACAGCCCGATTCGTAACCACTACATTACCAGAGCTCCTTATTACATTAAAACAATAGGAGGAAGAAAAAGGGAACTGTTTCAGAAGATAAATTGATAAGGTCTGAGAAAACTTCTCCAGTCCTCATTAAATTCTTGTCATTGCAAAAGAGATCTAGAATTGAGAAAGGATAAAAATTTTCTGACCCCAAATGGTTCTACTAGAACCCACTTTAGGGACTATGATCTCAGAAGCAATAAAGATAACCGATAAATCTGCAACTATCTTTAGCAATTAGGTTTCCATTCCTCTTGAATTTGTTTTAAAAAACACATAAACACACACATATAAGTTTATATGCAATCATACAGATAGGATGGGATGTTTACACATCAATTATTTGAGGAGACTGATACTTCGGAAGGAGGGAGTACTTAAGATTTTTACTTTGCTTCTCTTTATAGGTTCAAATCTTTCTTTCCTGTGTTTACAATTTACTTCTTAATGGGGTCTGGTATACATGCACCTTTTACAAAAGTCAATGACTACTTAGTTGAAAGAAAAAGAAATATTACTCGCTAAGCTTGTTGCCAAGTTCTTGAAGAGCTTGCTCTTGATCAAGATAGATTTTTTTTAAATGTTGATTTTCATCTTGAAGGTTAAGGAACTCCTTCAAAACAATAAAAGACAAAATGTAATTAACAAAACAAAAAGTAATAAATTCCATACTATACTATACATTTTTAAGAAAAACAACTATAGTCCACAGCTGCTTCATGTACAAGGAAGCTTCAAAAGTTTATGGAAAAATGGAATGAAAAGATAATGAAATTTTCCGAGAAACTTTTTAAAGCTCCCTCATACTATTTTCCATTCATTTGGCTCATCTCCCTAATGATAACCTTTAAGATAACTAGTATATCCTATTTTCTTGGTACAAATCTAAATGAAGATTATATTTTTACATAACTTAGCATTCTTCAAGATGCAATTTTCAAAGTTTTACCACTGTTTACTTTTTTAAGGCTAATGATTTGTTGGGTCTCATTCCTAAGATGAGATAAGGCATCTTTCTCCTTTTGAAGATCTTCCTGCAAAGTCTGCCTCCATTCCTTTTCAATCTTCAAATCCGTTTCCAGTTGTACCCTTGAAAGAAAAAAAGACAAAACTTCTGTTCTATTTCTCATATGACAATTGTATGCATTCTTTAATAAGGGCATCTTCTTTGTCTATTTTGACTTTTTAATTTATCTCTTCAGTCAGGTTCTTTCAGAAAAATTTCTGGTAAGTGTGGGAGCACACACAGGGTTTTCTGATCACAAAGTATCAATGTTTTCTTAAGCAATAACACGATTTTTTATCACTTTGTATTCCCATGTTATATAAGGATAGAAATTGTCTGGGAGGGCACACATCACACAATTAAAATTGCTTTCATCTTAGGAATGGAGATAGGTGGAGGAGTGTGCAGTTTTAACTCTTTCGGTGCCATCTGAAATTTTTCATCACAAACAAAAGTTTTATTCTGATACAAGAATGACGGCAACCACTAAATCAGCAAATGAGTGTTTGCTGCATCAGCAACGGAAAAAAAAGTCCTGGCATAAAGTGCTAGTTTGCATATTACTCTTGGAAGCTAATCAATTATAGGGCAGATGTAAGACTTGTGCGGAGGAAAACCGTTCTCAGCTGAAAACACACTAACCAGCAGGCCAAAACCAGTCCAAGTTCCCATTGCTTGGGCCTTTGGTCAGTCAGGGATCAATGAACTACACCCACTGCAGAATAAACATCAGTTCACCTCCATTTTTGTCAAACTCTAGAAAGTAACACAGGATACCAGAGTTTCCAGATTGAATTCTACTAAACAACAAAGTCGTCTAGTCTTGCTTTCCAGTTGGCAGGGCAAAGGAACTTGCACAACAAAGCCCGGAGCGTCATTAATAAACTTAATGACTTAAAGGCACCTTGTAAATTTTATGACCACAGGAAGTCCTGAAAAGCATGTACAGACTGGCCTTTAGTGAGAGTGCTTTTGATTAAGAGAAAAGTGTATGTTCTTAATCAAAAGCAGTTTGTAGTTTTTGTTTGCTGGAATGGATTTTAGTTTCACAATGTACAAATGATACAAATTTTCAGCCAAGATAATATTCTCTAGCCTAACAACTTACTGTGTACACCAACTTCTTAAAAGTTTATTCTATAGAAGATCTAGAAGAACTTTAGAGTTCTAGAGACAACATGGAATAGAAACATTTTCCCCTATACCTTCTACAAAGTACAGTTAAAAACTATGGACATTTTAAACAAAATACTACTTTGAAAAGTGGCTCATTTTTCTTTTTGCTTCCTGTGTAACTCAGACGGGGTCCTACAGAAGCCCACAACCCACAGGCAGAAACAAAAGAAGCCCTAAGACAAGCCGAAGCCCGTTGTCTCTTGCCAAAAAACAAAGACATGGCAGCCGAGCCAGAAGCCTGTTTGACAGTAAAACAGCCTGATACAGCAAAGCACCTGACCCAGGTCAGCAGAGGCCAAGCAGGGATCCGAGACTTCCACCCTCACTGGCCTCCCTTCCCACAGTGTCCGTGGAGTCCTTGTGGGAGGCCTGGACTTTTACTCCCATGAGCCAGTACTAAGGCCTTCCTCCTCCTCCCCAGCAAAGGTGGAGCCAGGCGCCTAAGTTTCTGTGCCCACCTGGTGGTAATGCAGAGGAGATCAAGTGAAGAGCCTCGACTTCCATTCACAACCACCGCTGACAAAGTACCAGCTCTCCTCCCCACAGTGGCCGTGGAGACTGATGGGAAGCCTAGACTTTAATCCCTGACCAGCAGCTCCGAGATGCCCTTCTCCCGGGTAGGCCCTCCAGGGTGGTTGTGGACTTAGAAGCCCACAGTCCTCTGCCAGTGTAGTTTCAGGGGGCCTGCTAAAGTGGATTTAAGCAACATCCAGAGTCTTATAATACCCAAACTATGTAAGATTGGCTTGAAAAAAAATGATGATACTAGAACACCTGGACATAACAACTTGGGTAAGAGAAACTTCGAATTATCTGACAAGAACTTTAAAGCAAGCATCATAAATGTGTTTCCATGAGCAACTGAAAACAAATGGAAAAATAGGCATGCTCGCTAGAAAGAAAAAAATCAGGAAGTGCAAAGGAAATTTTTAAAACTAACAAATACAATAATTGCAATTTTTGAAAAAAGCACTAGGTAGGCTGAACAGAAGAATGAAGATGTTAGAGGAAGAATCAATTAATTTGAAAATAGAAAAATAGAAATGACCTAATCTGGACAACAGAAAAAAAATACACTGGATAAAAAGAAGAACAAGGGCTCAGAAACCTGTGCAATTACAACAAAAAATATAGATTCAGGAAGCTCACTGAAACCCAAATAGGTAAAGCTAAAGAAATTCACACTCAGAAATATAATCAAACTTTGGAAACTAAAGACAAAGAAAGCAGTTCGAAATGACACAATACTCACAGAGGAACAGTGATTTGAATGACGGTACTTTATTCATGGAGACCCAAAAGAAAGCGGAATCTCAACTTTCAAATTCTAAAAGGAAAGCACCCAGTAGAAATATACTTCTCCAACAAAGGTGATGAAGACCTTCTCAGGTGAAAGAAAACTAAGAGAATTTGTTGTCAAAAGACCTGTTGTAAAAAAAATGGCTAAAGGAAATTCTTCAAACATAAAGTGATTAAAGAAGGAAACTTGATACAGAAGGAACGGCGACAGAACAACGCTTTTCTGAATTATGTTTACTGATCCCAGTAAACACTCTAAACACTGTCTGATGTGGTTTTCAATATATGCAAAAAAAAAAATATTTAAGGAAATGATATTATGCTGTTATTAGATGCCATTGAGTCACTTCTGACTCATAACAACCCTACGCACAATAGAACAAAACACTACCCGGTCCTGCATCATCCTCACAACTGTCACAATTATATTACTTTTTGTTGTTAAGTGCCCTCTAGTCGATGCCAACCCATAGGCACCCTGTATAGGGTTTTCAAGGAGCAGCTGGTGAGCTTGAACCACCAACCTTGCAGTTCAAATGACTTTGCAGTCTGACGCATTAGCCCACAGCGCCACACCAGGACTCCACAATTATATAATAAAGGAGCCTAAATGGAAGTATAGTTTCTGAACTTCACTTAAAGTGGTAAAATGTTGATAACAGTAGACTGAAAAGTTTTACTGGTGTAATGTAATGTTTAGAACATATCAAAATGGAATTCTAAAATAATGTTCAAGTAACCTATAGGAGGGTAGGGAAAATGAAACAGGAACAAAAAACACAGGCGGGAAAATAGAAACCAATGAAATGATGTAAGCTCTCGTCATATATAAATAATTAAATGCAAGTGATCTAAATATATTAAAAGACATAGATTGGCAGAACGGATAAAAAACATACATGAATGTTCTTAGAAACATCATGTACTTTAGTAACATAAGCTCCTTGAAGTTACAAAGCCCTATTTTACTCCGTACCTGGAGACACAATAACCTTTGGATTAATGCTAAGCAACAGCTGAAAGAATAAAAGTCTCACAAGAAGGCAGTGAAACGCAGTGGTTTAAGAATTGAACTGTCAGAGGACCCTAGGACCATCAGGGGAGAAGAACACAAGCGGAATGTGGGACCCTACCCAGAGAAGCAGTAACACCAGAGATGGAGGCAGAGGGGGGACAAGGAGAGAGGGAGCAGCTGAGGACTCTGGACTTTTGGAAAGAGAGGGACTGGGGACTGGTGGCCAGGAGGCAAGCTTGCAAAATGTGCACTTTGCTTGTTTAAATTATTATATATTCTTGGGTGTTTTTATGTACGTCCCTCCCTATCCCCCCCCCCAAAAAAAAACCCCAGAGGGAATGGAAGCAAATACTGTTGAATGATGATACATGGAGGAGACTGTAATGAAACGATGGTGTAAAGCTGATGTTCTCCCATGTAAACTATCACTCAGTTCACAATAAAAAATTGGGAAAACAAAAAGAATTGAACTGTCAGTGGGAGACCTGGGTTAACTGGTTAGAGTGAATCCAGGCTCTAATACTTCCGACTTGTTGAGCAATCTCTGAATTCACTTTCTTCTCAAACGGGGATATATGACACCTGTTCTGTTCTGTCTGCTATGAGGCACAATGCAATGTGAGTGAAAGTAGGCTGTACATTATAAAGGGAATTAAAAATATATAGATATTAGCATGATGTTGCCATTTTTTTGTTTGTTAAGGAAAACCCCACAATCCACTTGGCATCATTATGTCAGTTTGAGGACTAAGGCGCGCCTGACCCAAGCCATAGTATCTTCAATAACCTCATATGCATGCAAAAGTTGGACAGTGAATAAGGAAGACTATAGAATTGATGTGTTTGAGTTACGGTGTCGGAGGAGAATACTGAAAGTACCATGGACTGCTAAAAGAACAAACAGATCTGTGTAGGAAGAAGTACAAGTCAATGCACTCCTTCGGACATGTTGTCAGGAGAGACCAGTCAATGGAGAAGGATATCATGTTTGGTAAAGTGGAGGTTGGAGAAGAAAAGGAAGACCCCCAATGAGATGGATGGGCACAGTGGCGGCATCAATTGGCCCAAGTGTAGCAATGATTGTGAGATTGACCAGGGTCTCGCAGTGTTTTTGTTCTGCTGTGCATACAGTTGCTATGAGTCGGTGCCGACTTGATGGCACCTAACAAGACCACCAGCATTATGCATTAAAAAAAGGGAAAGGATGGTGAGGACAAGTTATGTTTACACAAGTATTTGTTTCCAAGAGCAAAATACTCACAGTTGTTTCTCCTTTTGGGAGATATGTTTCTGCAGACTGTCAGATTTACTGAGACATTCTTGTAGATATTTCTCATCCTCATCTTCGGCTTCCATTTGCGCCTTCTCTGCTTGCTGCAATCTGGTGTAATTCAAATCAACTTTGGGTAAAACTGAGGCTAGAACTAGGGTGTAAAAGGGTGAAGAAGACAAATAAAAGAAAAATGGGGAAATAGAAACATTTCTAAATGAAAACAAAGTTTGGGGGAAACTCACAAACTCAAACGTGAAAGAGCCACACAATGTCTAGAAATTTTGTGATTTCCAATATATACATAATATGCCCAGAATAGTTATCTTCAAATTTGTTTTATTTCTTGTTCATAATTAACAATGCAAAGCAATACAGCTTTTACCACTTATGCAGAGCATAACGAAGCAAATTTCAAAGTATAATAGGTGTGTTACTGCCTATTTTACAAAAACCATGAAAAGCATAGTCCTATGTCTGCACTAGGTGAAGAAGTCACACTGTTTCGTATCAGAGGCTAAGATGTGTCTGCCAGGAATCAAGTGTGCTTCAAGGCAAAGAACAAAGACCTGCAATTACTTCAAATAATAGCTGAGTTCTTCCTACAGGTTCATAATGCATTTACTAAGTTACTCCAATCTGTATATAGAGATTGTATATAGATTTTTTTTTTTCCAATGCTAGTTGACATCATTCCTAGATCGTTTTTTCCTCATCAATGAATTTTGAAAATTACCTTAAAACATGTTTTCCAATTTTTTTGTTTTAATTTGTAAGTCACTAACTTTCTCTGTCTCCTTTGGCCACCTAGGATTTCTTAGATTTAACTTCATTACTGTTACAAGAAAATATCTCCAAGCATTCAAGGAGGAGTATGTCCTTTAGAGGGAATCATAAACAAAATTTCTGTTAAACTAACCAAAAAACTGCCTCTCCTTCCTTAAAACCATGAGTCCGAATTGACTCACTAGCAGTGGGTTTGTTTATTGATAATGGGGCATCCCTCACATAGTTCAGAAGTAGAAATGCCACTCTCAAGGAAAGGTAAGTAACATTAAAGTTCTCTCTAAATATAAAATGGAGTCCGGAGCGGCAGGATAATACAATGGACCACAAGGCTGGTTTGAACTGCAAGGTTGGTGGTTCAAACTCACCAGCCACTCCCTGGAAACCTTATATGGGGTCACAATGAGTTGGAACCAACTCAGCAGCCCTTAACAACAACAAAATAGAAAAAAATTTATTAAGAAGGGGGGCCCAAGTGTTTTTCTCTAAAGTTACAGAAAATAAAAGTCAGGGTGAGGTAGGCCTTGAAGTTGTGCTGTCAAAGACTAGAGTTAAGGGGAACTAGATCATTGAGAATGCTAAAACACAGGAAGACAGCTAATCCAGATTATTAGCTATTGTAAAAATTAGTAAGGAAGCCATTAGGCAAAGAAGAGGTCAATTGAGAGGGAGGATTCTCCTATGTTAACATGTTGTGAAACTAAAGATTAACTTATTTTTTTTTAAATACTCTGTATTTTTCATCAAAAAGTTCCTAGAAAGATAAAACTGCATTTGCAAATCTTGACCTCCAAATCAGTCCTTGTGCACAGGTTTGAGGAATGTAGCTTTGGGGGTCCAAGTGCATCCACTTTGCTTTATGGCAGTGTTTTACTACAGCAGCTGACAAGAAGCCTCCGGGGTTCCTAATGCCCTTTTAGAACACTGAGCAGCGTCAACTCTCTTCTACCTAATATAAACTGTTGATTCTCTCTTAGTCTATTGAAATACAAGTGGTTTTCAGAAAGAGATATCTTTGACCAGCTTGTACTGGTCTTGAGTGTCACTGCTGGCACATTTCACCAATGACATTGCAATTGTCCTAGTTTGAGTTAACAAATCATTGTCACTTCGTAATGGAATGGACAGAAATCAAAGACAGAAAAAGGTAATAAAGATGTCCAAAATGTAAAAATGGGGATAAAGAAAACAAAAAAAGAAAAAAGAAGAAAGAGGATGTCAATAAAAGAATATTCATGTCAATAAAGCATTAATAATTATGTTTTTTATAAATAGATTCAAAGAAAGCAATGATAAGACATATGTTGACACCAACATGACAGGGCAATGGAAATACATTACATTTTCCAACAATTAAAAGTGAAAAATGCCAATATTAAACAATTTAGTTTAAACAAAAGTATTTCTTGGGCTGGGCTGAAGGTCCTATACGAAAGAAACAAAACTAACTCAGAATGCTTGGCTTCCGATAACGAGATGGTGAAAGGCAGGTATGACAATCAATACGCATGAAAATCAGTCGGGGCCAATCCCACCACTGACTGTTTGGTTTTAATTTTTTCAAAGCTTTTGTTTGTGTGTTTCTTTTATGTAATAGACTATGCCACATGAACTCACCAGTATGTGGCCGTTTTTCTAAATCTACAAAATGGGAACTTCAAATAAATCCTACTAGAAAGCAACTTGATTCCATGCAACAATCAAAACAAAAAGGGCAAAATCCTATTAAAGAATGTGCTCTACTCTAAATTTTCCCAAGTATGGTTTTCATGGCAGGTGTCGGAGGTTAAAAAAAAATTTAAAAAAAGGTAATGGGGAGGGGGAAGAAATGAAAAAAGAAAAGAAACTATGATTAGAAATGCTATTATACCTTTGCTCCAGCTGCCTCATGGCTGCAGTAATTTTATTGGTTTTTTCTTCTAGTTGTGCAATTATTTCATTTTTTTCTTTTAAGCCATCTTCAGAGCCCTATTTATAAAAACATAAAAGCTATTTAGGTCTTGATTTTTAAACCTGAATACTTGTAAATTTCTTAAAACATTTTGCTATGGGTTGTCTGTTAGTTAAATCAGCAGGGTTAACTTGTAGATTAAATTACTCTTAGGATATGAAGTAATAGTATTTTAAATATAATAAAGGAAGTTTTCTGAAAGGCAACAGAATAATAAACTCTTATGAAGTGTGCCACTTGAGAAATTAAATTGTACAGAGCTTTTGGCAATGTCTACTTTATAGCAATTTCACTTTATTAGAGAATAATAATTACTATGTTAATATGTCAATAAAAATTACATGCTTCTCAGGAAACTACTACATAAAGTAGTTCATAAAAATGTCTTACATGGTTAGATTGGATTTTTCCAAAAGATTTTATTCTCATACTGTTACCTTTTGAGCACTAAGAAATAAATTCAGATAGGTGAACTCTAGAGTTTGGTGATTTTTTCATCAGTACATTTCTTAAGCTTCCATTTAGAAAAAAAAGACACTAACTTTTATAACCAACCTGACACAATTAAAATGGGCTTAGCTCTTAAAAACTATACTCTTTCGATAAATTTTAAGTTTATATAACAAGAAATCCCAAGAATTTTAGATGGTTCCTCACCTGTAACTTTTGATACATCTCTATGTTAATTGCTTTCACTTCCTCTAGCTGCTGTCTTAGGCCTATCAGAGTATCCTGTTTCTCATGGATGTCTTTCTCCAACAACTTCATGGCAAGTTCGATCTCTTTTTTCATACTAACTTGTACTGCGAGCTCATTCTCCACATCCTGCAATTTGAAAATGCTCCCAATTTACATGCCATTTTAGTATATCAAAATGCATACGAAAGATAGATAATGAGATCAAGAAAGATTTTTCCATTTAATACACAGATCACTCCTTTTAATATGTTGCCGTTGATGTTAAGTGTCCTCAGGTCAATTCTGACTCACAGCAACCCTATAAAGAGGGTTTACAAGGAGCCAGTTGGTGAGTTTGAACTGCCAATCTTGAAGTTCAAATCGACCTTGTGGTCCAGTGCTTACCTCACAACACCAGTCAGGTGAATTACCCAGGCTCTGTGTATGGCGGTACAGGATAACGCGCTGGACCTCAAGGTCAGTTTGAACCACTATGTTGATTCAAAATCACCAGCCACTCCTCAGAAACCATATACAGGGTCGCTATGGGTCAGATCCAACTCAACATCACTTGACAGCAACAATAACACAATATGCTAAATATTTTCAAATGTTTTTGCTAACATGAAAACATTTTTTATATTCTGTTAATATTAGTATGTTGTCATAAAGTGCCATTGAGTAAATTCTGACTTGACGCATAGAAACTCTGTGTACAACAGAACAAAACCTGTACCATCCTCACAACCACTGCTATGCTTGGACCACCGTCACAGCCACAGTAGTAATTCATCTCACTGAGGGTCTTCTTTTCACTGACCAGCAGGATGCCCTTCTCCAAGAACTGGTCCCTGCTGATAACATGTTCCAAAGTACATGAGATAAACTCTCACCATCCTTGCGGAAACCCTGTACAGGGTCGCTATGGGTCGGAACCGACTGGACGGCACTTAACAACAACAACAACATCCTTGCTTCAAAGAAGCATTCGGGATGTACTTCTTCCATAACCGATTTGTTTTTCTGGCAGTCTATGCCACAGTTAGTATTTTTTGTCAACACCATAATTCAAAGTCATTGTTTCTTCATCAGTCTTCCTTTGCCACTGTCCAGCTCGCACATGCACATGAGGAGATTGAAAATACCATGGCTTGGGTCAAGTGTATCTTAGTACTCAAAGTGACATCTTTGTTTAAGAGGTCTTTTGCAGCAACTGTGCTCAAAGTCATTTGATTTCTTGAGGGTTGGTTCCATAGACACTGACTGCAGATCCAAGTAAAATAAAAAAATTCTTGCCAATTTCAATTTTTATCTTAACTTTATTTGTCATAATGTTGCTTATTTGTTTATTTGTGAAGTTTTTGTTTCCAAATGTTGAGGTGCTATCCATACTGAAGATTATACACCTGCATCTTCATTAGTAAGTGCTTCAAGTCCTCTTCACTTTTAGCAAGCACGGTTGTGCCATCTGCATAGCTCAGGTTGTTAATGAGTCTTCCTCTAATCCTGATGTTTCTTAGATTATTTGCTCAGCATACAGCACACAGATTGACTAAGGGTGGTAAAAGGACAGAATCCTCATGCACACCTCTCATGATTTAAATAAAAAATTATTCTATATAATTTTAATCATTATTCTACTGGTTCAATAATGTAAATATTTTTATAACTCATAAATCAGTATTAATTGTTCTGAAACAAAATCAAAGAAGCAGTGTGTTTAAGTAAAGTCCAAAAATAACTCAACATCATGTTTTACAGTTTTCATTTCTTCTCTTAAAGAGCACTGTATCAGAAAGATTAATAAATTTTATAACATAAATAAAAACAGCAAGAGGATAGAAGAGCCAATAATATTCACTTACAGAAATGCAGGTGCTTGCATTATAATTCATCATGCTGGTCATACCTTTTAAGTATTATACTTCACAACTAGGAAGGTTAAAGACCAGTTAATTTTCATAAGATTTTAATACTGGAGAACAAACAAGATGTCAGAGAGGGAAGACGTGAAGTAAGGAGCTCCGTCAGCAACAACACAGAATACCGGACCAAGCAGGCTCAGGGGATGGTCCCAGAACTCTGAACCACATGTAAAGGAATCTTTACAAAGTTAGAAGGCCTACAGCTAGCAGAATTTGTAACAGAAGCAAGAAATCCAGTGCTTTCTAATCCAAGGTGCTCAGCTGCTCCCTGATTGGCCATCTTGGGTGAGAACAAATGGGGGAAAGATCAGAGCAGCACAGACACCTAACAGAACCACGGAGATAAAGGTGTGGACATTCTTTTTTGTGTGTGTCTGTTTTGTTGGTCTCTCACTGTCTGTGTACCTCCATTCTGGTGACTAAAGGGAGTGCCTGAGCGATTGGACACCCTACCTCCACCCCTGGAGGGTTCTATTACACATGCACACAGATCTCAAAATTTAAAGGGAAAGTTTCCACTTAAAACCAAACAGCAATGTAAAACTAATGTTCTCCCATGTAAACTATCACATAATTGACAATAAAACATTAAAAAAAAAAACAAAAAACAAAAAAAACAGCAGCACAAAAAGACCACAGCTGGCCCTGAACAACAGTTCATCACTAGGAAAAAGTCCTGAACAGGGGTTGTGGAGCAGTACAGGTAGACTAAAAAGGAAACAGTCCAAAAATTAAATCTTGAGTTATGTCATAACAACCAACAGTGGCATCTTGCAATTTCTCAGGAAGAAGAGTAAAAAGGGAAGCCCATATCCTGATCACATCTACCTGGAGGCAATCAGAAACCATAAAAAATACCAAAACACACAACCATGTAAGTATTAAGGCCACAGCTAACTACTGAATATGCCCAAAAAACAGAAACAGATGGGCATATCAGCACATGTCCAGAAACAAGATAAAGTGATTGAGACATATGACCTGGAGTTAGACCTATACTCCATACTGAAAGGAGGGCAGGCTTTGGAAATGCCTGAGAAAGAATTCAGAAAAAATGATTATAAAATGTATCAAAACACTATATAGTAGAGTTGAGAGAAATAAGGACGAAGTCAGGAAAGCACTACAGGAACAATCAAATAAGATAGATGCATTGGAAACAATTCAAAAACTACAGAAAGAAGTCCAAATGATTAATGATAGAATATCAGAAATGGACAATACACTGAAAAGGCAAAGGAATAGAATTGAAGAGTAGAAGCCAGAACTAATGAGTTGGAAGATAAATCTTTTACTATTACTAAGAAAGAAGAAGAAGCCTAAAAAAGGATTAAAAAAATCTGAAGAAGGTCTAAGATTCCTGTTGGACAACATGAAGAGGAATAACTTAAGAATTATCAGCATTCCTGAACAGGAAAAATCACCAAAATCCACAAAGGAGATAGCTGAAGAGCTGCTGGCAGAAAATTTCTCTATCTTGAAAAACGAAAAGATAAGCATTCAAGAAGCTCAACAAACCACAGGAAGGACAGACCCTAAAAGACAATCACCAAGACATATAATAATTAAGCTCTCCAAAATCAAAGATAAGGAGAGAATCCTGAAAGCAGC